GAAAAAGAAAATGATACATTTTGGTCTGTATTCAGACACTATCAGTTCTTCCTCTAGAGGCAGTTGGCATTTTTCATCATGAGATCTTTGAGATTAGATTATCTTGGATCATTATACTGCTGAGAATAGCTAAGTCATTCACAGTTGTTCATCATACAATATTGCTGTTACTGTGAACAATGTTTTTCTAGTTCTGCTCACTTCACTCTGCATCATTTCATGTAAGTATTTCCAGGTTTTTCTGAAATCATCCTGCTTGTCATTTCTTATAGCACAATAGAATTCCATTACAATCATACATCACAACTTGTTCAGCCATTCCCAACTGATGGGCATCCCCTCAATTTCCAATTCTTAGCCTCCACAAAAAGAGCTATTGTAAATATTTTTGTGCATATAGGTCCCTTTCCTTTTTTCTTTTATCTCTTCAAGATACAGACTTAATAGTGGTATTGCTGGATCAAAAGGTATGCCCTTTGGGCATAGTTCCAAATTGTTTCCCAGAATGTTTGGACCAGTTCACAACTCCACCAGCAGTTAATAAGTGTACCTATTTTTCCTCATCCCTCCAGCATTTGTCATTTCTGATAGATGTAGGTGCCACCTCAGAGCTGTTTTAATTTGCATTTCTCTAATCACTAGTGGCTTAGAGCATTTTTTATGTGACTATGGATAGCTTTGATTTCTTTGTTTGAAAACTGCCTGACTATATCTTCTGACCATTTATCAATTGGGGAATAACTTGTATTCTTACAAATTTGGCTCAGTTCTCTATATATTTGAGAAATGAATCCTTTATCAGAGATACTTGCTGTAAAAAAATTTCCCAGTTTTCTGCTTCCCTTGTAATTTCAGTTGCATTAGTTTTGTTTGTGCAAACACTTTTAGATTTAATATAATCAAAATTATCCATTTCACATTTTATAATGCTTTCTATCTTTTGTTTGGTTTTAAATTCTTCCCTTATCCACAAATCTGGCAGGCAAACTATTTTATGCTCCCCTAACTTGCTTATGGTATCACCCTTTTCGTCAAAATCATGTACCTACTTTGACCTTATCTTAGCATACAGTGTGAAATGTTGATTTATACCTAGTTTCTGCCATACTGTTTTCCAGTTTTCTCAGCAGCTGTTGTTAAATATTGAGTTTTCGTCCCCAAAGCTCTGTATTGTCTTGTATTGCTCTTTTAGAATGAGTTCCTTGAGAGTGGAGATTGCCTTACTTTTTAATTTATATCCCCACTGGTTTACACATAAGTAGTAAGCATTTAATAAAGGCTTTTTGATTCATTCATTCATCCTCCACATGTTGCCAAATTGATGTTCCTAAAGGACACATTTAACTAAGTCACTCTCCTGCTCAAGAAACTCTAATGATTCCCTATTGCCTCTATGTTAACATACCAACTTCTGGAAAGGAATGGAGGAGGGAAAGAAAGAATGCAGGGAGGAAGGGATGGAGGAAAGCAGAAAGGCAGGAAGGAGAGGAAGGAAGGATGGAAGGAAGAAAGAAAGGAAGGAAGGAAGGAAGGAATGAATGGAGAGAGGGAGGGGAGGAAAGGAGGGAGGGAGGAAGGAAGGAAGGAAGGAAGGAAAAGAGGAAGGGAGGAAAGACATCACATGTTTTCCCCTCTCTCATTTTGAAGTCTACGGACAGAGGTATTTACTCTGACTTTGGAAAACTCCAGCGTCTTGCGCACTTTGCCCCGGGGCATCACAGGCCAGGCCAGGTGCACTGCACAGGACATTAGGTCATCTGAATTCTAACGCGTGCCGAGTTGGGCAAGTCGGAAGGACCTGGTCCAAATCCCATCTCTGCTAGTTTCCCAGCAGGGTGACCTAGAACAGTTGTTCCCCGTCTCTGGGGCTCGGTTCCCTTGTCTGTAAAATAAGGGGTCTGGAGCGGCGCCTCGGAGGCCCCTGGCAGCTTTAGAACCGGGTCCAGATCTCGCCCTATCCGGGGACCTCAGCCCCTGACAGTGCCAAGCCAGGGAGCCCGCACCTTTGCCAAGAGGGAGGGGCTGGCTAACCCGCCTCCCTCCTCCTGCCCCTCCTCCAGGCTTGAGGGAAATCTCGCGATGCCATTGAGGGGGGCGGTTCTCGATCCGGCCCCTGATTGGTCTGGGTAAGAGACGGGGGGCGGAGTCACGGTCCAGAATCCTCTAGTGGGAGAGGCAGATTCCGCATCGAGACCGTGACCGTGTTTGGGGGCATATGTGCGCTATGGCCGCTCTGTCCACGCTGCTGCTCCGCGGGCCTGCCCTGCTCCGCCTCTGCCCCCGGTTGCCCGCGGCCCGCACCTACGCGGCGGGTAAGACGCGCCGGCCCCGGGGCGGGGGGAAGGGCTGAGGCGTGGGAGGCAGGCGGACTTGAGGGCCTGTGGGTGTCCGCGTGCCTGCGTGGATGGAGCCGCGGAGACCCCGCTTCAGACCCCTGCGCGAATCACTGACCCTATCCGACTCAGTGTTCTCACCCGCAGAATGGGTCTAATAACAGTCCCCATTTAACGGGGTTGCTGAAAACCTTAAGGCGCTAGGTGTGGGTTGGTTTCCAGCCACCCTGAGTTTGTTTGTTTAGCACCTGCTTGGTGCCGGCCAGTAGCTGTAAGAGAACTAGACCGGGGGCAAGAAACCCAGCCTCGAGGCACTTCCAGGCCCTAGTTATGTCTCTGGGGCTGAAGCCTGGTCAGGCTTTATCGATTTAGAATTGGAAGGTCCCTAGAGGTCAGGGAACTCAGAAGCGTGGGCAAGTGGGAAAGAGGCTCGATGCTAGGAAAAACTGGTGAGGAGGGATTCCCTCTTCTGGGAGTGCCCTCCCCTCCCCCTTCAGGCACGGCGGACGGTGCCCTGGAGAAGGCGAGGAATGTTGTGGGAGGAGGTGCCCGTGGAGCCCTGCGCCTCTGGGTGAGTGGCAAAGTTCACTTTCGCTCCCCACGTGTGAAGAATGGGAGGAGTCAGACGAGCACTGAAAGGAGGAGTGTCTGCAGCCTGGGGAGAGATTCAGCCTATGCAGGTGTAGGGAGTGGGCATCGGTGTCATCAGATGCGGGAGAAATGGGGCACTGGAGGAGAGACCTTTGCATTTGGTGACCGACCAGGAGGTGTCTTGCAAGCCTCTGAAAGAGCAGGGGGATGAATGGGGGCAGAAGCCAGGTGAAGGTGGGAGGAAAACTTGTTAAAGAAGTTTGGGAGTTAAGGTGGGAAAGCCATGCAACAGCAACTGGAAGGCATAGAATTCAGAAAGTCAACAAGCATTTATTAAGTGCCTACTATGTGCCAGGCACTGTCCTGGTCACTGGGAATATAAAAAAGATGCATCAGCCCCAGTCCTGCAGGAGTTTCCTTTCTACTGGGGATGGGGCAGGCTAACATGAACATAGAGGAGTAAATCCATAATTTGTGCAGGAGAGGGGAGGGAACAGAACAGAGACAACTAAAAACTGGGGGGAAGGCTTGTGTACGAAGTGGCGCTGGAGTCACGCTTTGAAGGGAGCTACAGGTTCCAGGAGGTGAAATTTAGGAGGGAGAGCACTCCAGGATGACAAGAGGGACAGCCTCACCAGAGCACAGGGACAGGAACGTGGAATGTTGTATGTGGACCACAGCAAGCGGCTGCCTGGGCCAGAGCCTGGACTTCGTGAAGGGAAGTAGGTACGGTCAGTTGAGAAAGGTAGGCTAGAGCCAGATTATGAGGGATTCACCCTGCTAAGCAGAAGTTTGTATTTGGTCCTAGGGCCGTTGGAAGTCACTGAAGCTCCTTGTGTATGAAAATCAATGTGTTCAGTCAGACCCTTGCTTTAGGAATATCCATTTAGCAGCTAGAGTAATGGTAGTGACCAAATTGGCTACACTTCATGCTTCAAATATGAGCCTAACCTATCAGCTGTGTCTTTTGTCCAGGACCAGCTTCCCTAAATTCAGGCAAGATCATAGTCACTAGCAAAGAATTTGAATAATAATGCGAAGACCTCTAGCTTCTTATAATGATAATAATCATAGCTAGCATTTATATAGTGCCCACTGTGTGCCAGCACTGTGCTAAGTGCTTTACAATATTATCTCATTTGATCCTCACGACAACCTTGGGATGCTGTTATTATCCCCATGTTACCATTGAGGAAACCGAGGCAGACAGCGGTGAAGTTATTTACCCAAGGCCATGCAGCTAGTCTGGATTTGGACTCAGATCTTCCTGATACCTCACCATTCTGCTTCCCTATTTCTTATTTGAACCCTAGCAACACTGTCTGAACTAGCATTTCAGGGTCAAAATGTTTTTGTTGTAAAAAAGAAATAAGCCAGTATTACATTCCTGTAGATGCTATCATGATTAAACAGGATTTGCAATGTGAGTCATTTCTTGGATACTTATACTTTACATAAAGCCTAAAAGATAAGGTATAATATTCAGGCACACAGTAGGTACTTAATAAATGCTTGTTGACTTGACTTTGGATCTGTGATGATTTTTTTAAAACAGAACATGCTCTACCATTGCCTTCACAAGAAATAAGTCAATGTCATATATAATACATTTTATCTTAAGGGCTATCCCTGTTGTGCAAGATTCCCAGGTAAAGTTATTATAAACCTGTAGTTAAAACCCCAAAGACAATGTAATTGTAATAACTTTGGATCTGTGATTTTATCCCTATTGCTACACTCTCTACAAATGCTAATTACAACTATCTTTCCCAAACCTGTGGTATTATTGTCTTTTTTACATACATATACATACAGGTCTGTAAACATATACATAGGTATACCTATACACACACCTATACATATATGTAAGACCATACTCTGCATATTTCTATTTGTCATCTCTTTCTCTGAAGGTGGATAGCATCTTCCTTCATAAGTCCAAGTCTTTCCATGTTTTTCTAAATCAACTAGCTCATCATTTCTTATATTACAGCAGTATTCCAACACAATCATATCCTTTCTAACAGATTGTCTATGAAAGTTTTTTTTTCCAATTTTCTGCTTTCCTTCTAATCTTGACTCCACTGGTTTTATTTATAGAAAATATTTTAGTTTAGAATAATAGAAATTGTCAATTTTACACTTCAATAATGTTCTCACCTTATAATATAGTTTAAAGTCTAATAGATCTGAATCTCCTTCCTTTACATTTTTTCCCTTAGTTTCTTCGAAATTCTTGACCTTTTGTTCTTTCAAATAAATTTTGTTATTTTTTTATAATTCAGTAAAATACTTTTTAGTAATTGGGATGGCTTTGAATAGATTGATTAGGTAAAATTGTCATTTTTTGTTACATTGACTTTCCTACCCATGAACAATGAATATTTCTCCAATTTTAAATCTAACTTTATTTGTATAAAGAGCGTTTTATGTTTCATGTCATTCCTGTGCCTGTTTTGGCAAGTATACTCTCAAGATATTTTGTTTTATTTTTATGTCAGTTATTTTAAATGGCCTAAAACAACATTGAATAATAATGGTAACACATAGTGTAGTTTCCCTATTTTTCTCTTTTAATTAAATCTGTTTTAGCTTTCATTTTGTTATCATAGTTATTACACCTGCCTATTTTACAAAATAAATTCTTCTCCAGCCCTTTATTTTATCACTGTGTATATCTCTCATTTTTACTGTGTTTCCTGAAATCAACATATTGTTGAATTCAGATTTTTAATCCATTCTGCTCTCCGTTTCTGTTTATGGGTAAATTCATCCCATTCACATTCTAAGTTATAATTACGTATGTATTTCCCTGTATCCTATTTTTCCTAACTATCCTTACCCTATTTACCCTATCCCTCTTCATCTGCTACTTTGCCCTCTTATTCCTTAATCTACCCACCTCTCTTCCCTTATCCTCTGCCCCCACCTCCACCTTTATTTATCTTTCTAAGAGTTTCTCCCATGTCTCCTCCCCTTCCTAATTCTTAATCTACACACCCTTCTAAAAGTCTCTACTATATACCCCCTTGCTCTCTTATTTCTTTCTAGATTTAGAAGACTTTTATACCTATCTAGATGTATACATTGTTCCTTCTTTAACCCATTTCTGATGAGAATAAGGTTCCAGCACTACCAGCCCTCCTACCCCATTTGCTTCTCTGTCAGTTCTTCCTTTCATGCCTCATTTGTATGAGATAATTACTCCTTTTAATCTCTCCCTGCATAGTTTTACTTTCTTAGAATCACCCAATCATACACAGCTCAGGCCAAACCTTTTTTTAAAACTACTCAAATGATGATGACAGTCATAAGAGTACCAATAACATTTTCACATATAAAAAGTAACAATTTGACCTTATTGAGTCCCTTATAATTAGTCTTTAATGCTTACCTTATATTTCTCCTGGATCTCATATGTCAAATTTTCCATTAAGTTCTGCTCTTTTTGTCACAAATACCTGAAAGTCTTTCAGTTTGTTAAATACCCATTTTTTTTCCATTCGGGATTAAACTTAACTTTGCTGGGTTAAGTTATCCTTCGCCATAACCCCAACTCTTTTCCTCTACAGAATAGTGTTCCAAGACCTACACTCCTTTGACATAGTAGCTGCTAGGTATTGTGTAATCCTGATTATAGCTCTGCAATGTTTAAATTGTTTTTTTTTTTCTTGTTGCGTGCAATATTTTCTCCTTAACCTGGGAGCTTTGAAACTTTGCTATGATATTCTGTGAGTTTTCTTCCTGGGATCTCTTTCAAGTGGTGATTGGTGGATTTTTTTTTCTATTTCTGCTTTACCTTCTTGTTCTAGAACTGAAGGGCAATCTTCCTTAATAATTTCTTGTAATACTGTGTCGAGATTCATTTTTTGATTGTAACTTTCAGGTAGTCCAACTGTTCTGATATTGTCCCTCCTTGGTCTGTTCTCCAGTATCAGTTGTTTTTCTGATGACGTGTTTCACATTCTTTTCTACTTTTTCATTCTTTTGATTTTGTTTTATTATTTCTTGGTGTCTTTATAGTTTTCAAGGAATTATTTTCTTTCTTAAGTTTTTGATTCTCTATTTCCAGTTGATTGACTCTTTTCATAATTTTCTTGGATTGCTCTTATTTTTTTTCTAATTTTTCCTTAATCTCTTATTTGATTTTTAAAGTCCTTTTTAAGTTCTTTCAAGATCTCTCTTTGGGCATGTGACAATTTGATGTTTCTCATTGAAAAAAGAGTAATTTTTTTTAGCTCTGCTATATTCCTCTGAATATGAACCCATATCTTCTCTATCCCCATAGTAGCTATCTGGTTGGGTTCTTTCTCTTTTACTCATTTTTATTTTTATTTTGTTTTCAGCAGCTTATCATTATAATCAAGTTCTAGTCCCAAGGTGTGGTGAATAATGCCCCAAACCACATGTCCTTCTTACTGTTATTTTCTGAGCTCTATCCCAGGGCCCAACTTTGGGTACACCTCTCCACTCCTAAGCCACTACTAGGGCCCCCAGCCACGCTGTCCTGCAAACACTCTTACTCCTTGTGGTCCCTCTGGTGGCTGCAAACTATAACTGTCCTCTCTGCGCTGGAACTAAAACCAGGGACTATGCTCTCCTGCAAGTGCCTACAGCCAGCAGGGTCCCCGTCCCTCTGTTACCATGCTCGCTAGGCATGTGCTAACTCCTTTTCCCCTCAACTGAAGCCCGGGACCTCTCCTGGTCAGCACAACTGTGTTTATTATTATCCCTCGATAGTAGAAGTCCTTCATTCTTCTCCTGCTTAGCCGTAATACCCCCACACTGTTCATGAGGTGAAAGTTCATGAGACCAGGCTGCCTCCCAACCCAGGCCGACCACAGGGCTTGTTGTTTATTGATTCTGAAAAGTTGGCCTGGAGGTATTTGCACTTCTCTCAGGTCAAACTTCCACCCCTGGAGGTTTGCCATTTCCTTCTCCAGCTCATTTTCCAGATAAGGAAACTGAGGCAAACAGGGTTAAGTGACTTGCCCAGGGTCACACGGCTAGTAAGGGTCTGAGGCCAAATTTGAACTTATGAAGATTAGTCTTCCTGACTCCAGGCCCAGCAGTCTATCCACCGTGCCACCTAGTTGCTCTTGTCTTTGGTTTTTCTTAAATTTTAAGAGACTTTCCTAAGGTCTTTGAATACTTTGAAGAGGCCTCGCAGTTCACTGGTCCTCCATCTGTCTCATTTTCAATATATGACTACCCATGACATGCCCCAGACTAAACCCGTAATCTCTTCCCCCAAATCTATCCCTCTTCTGAACTTCCAGTCACTCAGTTTTGCAACCTAGGACTCATCCTCAATTCCTCACTCTCCCTCAATAGCCATATTATATGATCAGTTTTTCCAAGTCTTGTCAATTTTACCTCTCTATCTCTGGCATGTGACCTCTTCTCTCTCTTCACACACCTACCGTCTCACAACTAGACTGTTGCGCTAGCCTCCTCATTGGTCTCCCTGCCTCAGATCTCTCCATTTTCTCCATTGAGCTGCCAAAGGGATATTCCTCAAGCACAGATCTGAACAGATCACTCTGCGACTCAGTAACCTACAGACTTCTTCTCTTTGCCATGGAAAGCCTTTCAAAATCTACCTTTCAAGCCTTATTTATTATTCCCCTTGGGTATCTGCTCTCTAGGCTAGACAAGCTGGTCTTCATGTTGTTCCACACGCACAACATTCCCTTACACAAGTAGCAGGAGTTTTTAACTTTTATTATTTCCTGGGCCCCTTTTCAGAATAATGGGGTTTTTTTTTATGCCTAAAATATAAAAGATGATAAAAGAAACCAATTACACTGAAATACGATTGTCAAAAAATATTTTTTTAAGTTCACAGACCCCAGATTAAGAAGCCCTGCCATAGATCCTCTGCTCATAGAGCCCATCTTTTCCTTTAAGATACAGCTAAAGCCCCACCTTCTGCAGAAAAGCCTTTCCTCATCTCCCCAACTGCTGCTACCTGCCTTCTCAAAATTACCTCGTATTTATTCATTTGTATTTGTGCTGTACATGTTATTCTATGTATTAATTGCCTCTGTCATTACAATGTAAGCTCATTTTGAGTAGGGATCAGTGCATTCATTGTGATTTATATTCCCCAGTTTCTAACCCTAATCCTAAATTTTCCCATAATTTAGACATTATCTCTCTTTGCTCACATTGACTCAGCTTTTTAAAAATTTTTTAGGTTAAAAAAACCAAAAATTAAAAAAAAATTTTACATTAAAATTTAATTTTATTTTTGGCAACTAACAAGCACTTTTTTCCCCCTTCCCTTCTCTTGCTAGGAAGAAAAGAAAAGAAAAAACAAAACCCTTGAAATGAATGTGCATAGTCAAGCAAAACAGCTTCTCCCATTGGTCATGAACCAGGTGTATTGGACAGTTTTGCTCAGTGTCAGGCTTTTTTTTTTTTTTTTTTTTTTTTTTTTTGTTTTTTTTTTTTTTTTTTTTGTTTTT